TGAGATTTTTACTTGTGTAGTCGCGTTAGTCCGGCTAATATGAACAGCCCCTAAGTGTATTTGCTCACCTTGATGACAATTGCCTGAGACGCAAGAACTTGCTAAAGAGGGGACTGTGCTTGCTCGAGACGGAACGATGGTGCTTGACCCAAGGGCGGGGTTGGGTGAACGACCCGACGGATAACCGGGACTCATGGTCAAAGCAGGTGTCGGTGACGATGCTGCTATATTTGCAGCAGAAACAGTAGAATTTTGATCCGCATTGGCATTACCATTTGAGGTGTTGCTTGCATTGTTCGGCGAAGCTGCAACTAAAAAGATAAGGGGGGGACTTAGACATTTGAGAAAACTACTAAACATTATATTCAGGCCTCGAAATAAATCTGGAAGGTATATCAGTCATCATGACCAGTGAATTATTAAATGTACCGGTCACAAAGGCTTTCTTCACGGTAATCTTTCGTTTTTCTTATTTGCGCCCATTTTTAATGTACTTGTATAGATAAATACAATTACAGATACTTATTTTAAACAAAATGCTCACTATCTTAACAAGAAAAACGGACAACAGGGGAAGCGAATTTTTGTATTGAGTATGGTTTCCGTTAAGTTAAATTTTTTTTCTAAATTCCAAACATTTTCTAAAATTTTTGTAAATTAAACTCATTCTTTACCAAATTCACAATTATTTTTGTTAATTTACTTTCTCTGGGCCTATAAATTACCTGAATCCCATGATTTTCCCAGAAAAAGCATCACTGGAAATGCGATTTATCACGTAGTATTTTACAACTAAAAGGGCACTTCTGCCCCCCCCTAGCAAAAGGCAAGGGGGGGGGGGGCAGCCGCCCCCCTGCCCTCCCAGTTCCGGCGTCCCTGCTTATATTCTCGCTCGATTAATCTACACTAAAACCTCGATAATTCGTACTACATGAAATGCATTTTATGCATATTATTTACCCAAAGTTGGCAAGAAAATACCGATCTAACACTGTATACAAAAACTAAATGTACTTAAATATCGAAATTCATTTAAACTCATTATGATCAGACATAACTTTAACACTCCTACATTGTATTTTTTTTTTCTTTCACCACATTAAAACGACTGAATTTCGCGAAAATTCATCAAATTTTTTACTCAATTTAGTCAATTTTTTCAAAAACTATGTGGGATGACGGCTGCCGGCCCGACGTCACACAAAAGCTCTCTGATTGGCCAAGATTTCAGCCTGCTGTCAGCCAGCCAATCAAAGAGCTTTATATTGTGACGTTGGGCAGGCATGGAACCGTCATCCCGTATAGATTTTTCTTGCCATGACAATTTTGTTGTTTCGACATTGTTTTGACAGTTGTTGAAAATAGCTTGTGCATGAATTTTCATCCCGGCAACCGGGCCAGCCGGCTTGTGAGTTTTACATTGGTGCTGTGCGCCGAAGTTCTGCCGAAAAATACGTCATATGCTTTGATACGTCAATGGATTTCTTCACTTAATTCACTAGGAAAAGTCATGGGGACAAAATTGAGCCGAATAATATTCGCCATTATCGGGATTTATGCTTTATTCCCGGAGTTGTGAAGCAACGCAGCCGGAGATTTGAGCTGTAAAGCAGCCGGAGCTGAAAAATCCCGGTAAGCGAGAACTCGGCAACCGGGCCAGTTCGTGTGTCCATATATATAAACGCACGGTAATTTTTACTATAAAAATAACTACACAGCCAGATCTCGCTTACCGCGGGCTGTCTCGCCAAGCGAGCCCGGCTTCCGTATAAACAGACTGGATAACTTGCGTAGCGCCGCAAAAACCATACCGGATAGGGCTTGTGTTTACATATGAAATGACGTAATCGCATCAATTTCTGCATCGAAGTCTTCCAAGAGGTGCGTGTTGTGCCGGTTTGGTTTTTACAACGTTCTCATTCTAATGTAAACACGAATCGGAGCAATTTTTGGTTCAATTCGTGATTCAAGATGGCGTCTAGCAAACAACAACTTGTTATTCTGACCTTATTTACGGGTATAGCTTGCTCACTCTTTCAAATGACGTCTGCAATATTTTCGCCATAGAAGGGCGGTGGCGAAAGCTGTTTACACGTCTTGGGCAGTAACGTTTCGCGAACGAAACAAAAACCTATCCGGTACATCGTAAACAGCAGGGGTCGAAATTTAAATTTTTTTGTACTATACAGCCGGAATAGTCGATTTTTATATTTACTATTCCGTCTGAAGATCCACTATTCCTTAATGTAGCTACTGTTTCTGATTTTCATGAAATCATCCTTGAGACTCCTAAAGTGAACTGAATAATTGAATAACAAAAAATAAACATGTACAGTGCATTGCTCTGTACAGTGATGAACAAATTATTAATAAAAAACAAACTTCAAACACTGAAATGAACTTGCGAACTTTGTTGTGAAATTCGCGCCCAATTTCCGAACTTGGAAACGTAATTGGCAAGTTCGCAACGAACTTGGGAACCGCGCGTTGAAAAGTGACTTGAAAACGACAATAATATTGCTGCAAAGAAATTAGAATACGCAAGTATTGCAAGCGAACAAGAAATTAGCTACGAAGTGGAACAGTGGCTCAAAGTGCGGTATAAAGTGATTTTTTATAAGATCAGGAAAACCCTTGCTTGTCGATATTTGGTACCACAATTTTTTCTACTATACAAACGGAATACTGTGATCATGAAGTTTACTATTCCGTCATGCATTTTAGTATATTCGGAATAGCGGGAATTTCGACCCCTGATTTACAGTAAACGTAGCCTCAGATACATAACACTTTGGTATGTCTTGGAGCCTACACAGGTAGTAACATAGTTAATAATAAATTTAATAAGATCGACACACACACCTTGGCAATATTTATCACGTCTTTCGTAGCCCTCGATGCATTTACAAGCAAATTCAGTTGTTTTATTACAATAAGTATTGGCACGACAACCCCGGCATTTATCTAAACAACGTATATAGAATAACTAAATAATCTGATGATTGCATAGGGGGTATGAGGGGAGGGGGGCGGCGGGGTTACCCCCCCCCCAAAAAAAAAAAAAAAAAATTAGAAATACGGCTTTTGGTTATGTAAAACATAATTTTAAAAATCAGGTAATTTGTATCCTTACACTTTTGTACCCCCTCCCCTCCCAAAGACAAAAGAGAGGTTAAGATACCCCGGTTTCGGTGTATACGGGTACGAGTAGCATGATTTTGGTTAGGAATATTTTCGTCGATGTCTGTACCTTTACACGTAATTAAGGTGCACATTTTTCATTGCAAGAAAACAGAAAAAGTATGATCGAATTACAGACATCAGTATAAAACAAGATGACACTACTCGTACCCGTACACCGAAACCGGGGTATATTAACCTCTCTAAAGTCTTCACTACGCCTGCGGCTCGAGTATTTTTACGCTTTCCGAATGTCTCGTAACATTCCTCGTGCATGGATCACGCAATCCTGCACGGAAAACCATTCGGTATTCCTTTATTAAAAAGCCTTTAGCCACTTTAAAAAGTCTTTGAAGACATTTTTATTTAAGAAAGCTTTTGTTTGAAGTTTAGACTATATATAGATTAACTGGATATACATTATAAATTAGTATATTTTTAGTATATGTATATTTAGTATTTTTGCACAAGTGAACATAACAAATCCTACAAGTTGATTGGTCAAATTTGACGTAATAAGCTGTTATATTCACCTACAGGTGAATATAACAAAATTCGACTTCGTCTCGGCGAATATTCCCGATAATCACCTCGCCTTCGGCGAATAATTGTTAAATAATCAGTGGCGAAGCCAGCCCGACAATGCAAATATTTCCGTGTTCTATACCATGAAATTAATCAATTTCTAAAGAAATTAATGATGATGATCTAAAATTTGCATAGCATGACCAAACTGTCGGGCTGGTTTCGCCACTGTATATAATGTTGTTCTCTTAAGTTTTAATTCTTGTAATGCGTATTTGAAAATGTACTTGCATTGATTTGTGCGCAATATAAATTTTATAAGTAATAGGGTGTTCTTAGAGTGGTCCACTTTATTATTTTACTCCGTCTAACGCCAGACGATTTTACTCATCAAGGGGAACTAGAGTGATGGCGCTGAATGGATTAATAATGCTCTGGATATCTATTGAGCACTCTGCTAAACGTTTCTCTAATCAACCATACCTTTGCATTGCCCATCGTCCATTTCATAGCCTTCAATACATGTACAATTCCAGTCGGTCGTTTTATCACAGTATGTACTCGCGTTACAGCTTCTGCATTTATCTAAATAAATCATATATAATTAATGTTTTCTCTCGTATAATTTGCCCCAGACCAAGGCTCGTTAATAGTTTTCGTGCCTGCAAACAAAATTCGTAACAAAATGTGGCTGAAAAATTGCAATCATATTTTAAGTTTTTGAGAGCTATAAGCCCCGTTTACACGAGCAAATTTTATTTGACAAATTTCATGTCAAAGAAATTTTGCACGTGTATAGATGATATATTTGTGGCAAATTTATTGTGACAAATGCATTTGATGCTAGCTTTTGATCAAATGCATTTGATCAAATGAAATTTGTCAAATAAAAATTGCTCGTGTAAACGGGGCTTAAATATTGTTCAAACACTCATTAATAATTCATAAGCTAATTGGCAAATCATGTCAACCATAATATGTCACGTGCAGTGGCTTTAAACCTGATAAAACACTCCTAATTAGTATTCTTTATATAAAGAATACTAATAAGGCAGTATCTATTGTAGTCGTGTCCTCATTAGTATTCTTTATATAAAGAATACTAATAAGGCAGTATATCTATTGAATTTGTAGTCGTGTTTGAAGCCGTTCTCGCAGGTCGTGTTTTATTAGGTCTAAAGCCACTCGCGCTGCGCGCTCGTGGCTTTAAACCTAATAAAACACTCCTGCTCGTTTATTAAACAGTACTTAAAATGCACGTAATTTAAAATTTGCATGCCGGCAGAAATTCGAAAAAGGAGTAAAGTGCGCCAGGCCTTTTTCGTGGGTAATGAAAATTACGGGGCACAAGGTAGCGGTCGAACTGTTGTAGAACAGGCGGGGGTAAATAGGGGAAACACCAGGCCTACAAATAAATATTTTGCTTGGTCGGACATTTAACAGTTTTTGTCGGGCGATGGACAAAGTAAAGATTTTCATAATTCTTAAAAATAAGCATGATGTAGTTCGGCTGGACATGTTGGTCTGCGCTGCAGTGCATCTAAAACAGTAAGTTATTCGCTTTTAATAGCATTAAAAGAAACAAAAACAGGATGAGAATAGTCCCAGCAAGTATTTACAGGTTAGCAAATAGATTTTTAACATTTAAAACTAGCTAAAAAATGTATTTTTACCAAAAAATAATGTCGAGAGAGCGAAGACAAAAACATTTTGTAAACATGAACAGAATATAATTTTTTGGAAGAAATTAAACTGAATTAAAAACAAGGTCAACTTATAGATGTGAAATCAACAAGAACGTGTTTTGTTTAAAAAACCTTAAAATATAAACATTTCAAGCAATGTCGGAAGTATTATTTAAAGAAATAGCAGTTTATCAGGTTTAGGGCAAGTTGTGAGCATCGCTAAACTAACTGTCCAGATATTGCCATACAGATGAGTCTGAATTCAGTAATTGTCTAGGCCTAAAAAAATACCTGTGATTCCGGTTCCCGACCGACCCTATTTTTTCTGCCGACCCTATTATTTTTTCAACGCGATTGACCGTGCGACCCTATTTTCTCCGGGTGGTTGCGGGCTGCTCATACAGCGTGCCAAAGTGGCGTCTGTTGTCACACTAATTATTGAATCAAATTGCCTAATTTCGTCCATAGGAACTACGCATCTCTAGTTAATATTGATGTCGGGACTCTACTGCAAATCGCCCAGCAAAAAATCGCCAAAACCATGAAAAAAATATTCAAAAAAAAATTTATTTCCGACCTACCGGCCTTAATTTTTTCACGATATGAAACCGGAACCACAAGTATTTTTTTAGGCCCTATAGAGTTTTATGTGGTTGATATCCAACTCGGTGCTCCTCATCTCGTAGGCTGTCAGCTCATATACAACTCGAGTTCGCAGTATATAACCGTTAAATGTTTTGTCGACATTGTCCGATGACCGGCAATAATTTGTAGACCTGAAATACTGGAACTGGCAGACCTGGAAATAATTCTAGCCTTTCTTGGATTCTAGCTGGGGGGGGGGGGATATTTTCTTTGAAAACACTGTTATCAAATTTAGGCCGGGGGGCATTTTCTTTGAAAACTCTATGATAAAATTTAGTTGGTTTAACAGCATTATCTGTGCTTCACAGTCTTCACTGTTAACAAAATCTATTCAATTAATCAATAAATTGGGTATTGGATAATATTAATTAATTCTATGTTACTAATGTTAGTAACTTAGGCCTTAGCATATCAAATTAAATTGTAATAAATGCTTATATAGTGTAATAGCTTATTACAGTTGTATTTATAATTTATAAGCATTCATTACTACCTAATTTGACATTTGCAAGTTGCGTGATAAAGAAATTTAAATTTCAAGGAATATTTTTATGTATGCTCAAGTGAAAAATTAAAAAACTTTTTTGAGATCGATTTGTGTATCAGGTGATATCACTTATATCAGCGTTTTCAGTTCTACGAAAATTTCTTTAGACTGGGAAATTTTTAACCTTTTTGTTGATTTTTATGCACAATCTTTTTAAAGAAATTCCAAAACTTTCTGCCAAAGAAAATTGAAAATCTTCTCTAGCAATCAAAACATTTTCTAGGAACATCGTTCCCAGGATCCACCACTATTTCCAGGTCTGGTAACTGGAACCGAAATTTTCGGCTATGTTGGGTATACTTGGCTCGTACACGTCCTTGAAATTTAGAAACAAATAGCTTGGCTTTGTATAAATAATGAAGCAGCGATAGATTTATTTTGCCCTGTTTTTCCAGTATAATAAAAAGTTAGTTCAGATGATCGAAATACCTTTACAAACACCGTCATCCATTTCCAAGCCTTCTGAACATTTACAAGTCCAGGACGTTGTTTCATTGCAGTATGACACGGCGCTGTCACAACTTTCACAAGGATCTAGATAAAATACGATGTACTCTCATTGACGTACGATGAGGGGCGAACCCCCACCCCCTCCCACTGTTGAGGGGAGGGAGGCAGGCTTTTAGCCAGGGTCCTAAGAGGGCGTCCAATTTTGGTACAACGATACATCTACAGTAAAGAGGGGGGATGTTGAGAAAACGTTCCTCTGGAAAACCTTTGAAGTTTACGTTACTTCATGCATGGATAATAAAATAAATGGATATGAAACTAGCTGACGTGACCTAATGTTTTTACTGGGATTGATGGCGTGGCTGGGTGCCTCAACCTAGTTGAAAACCAAATTCTCAAAAACGGCATGTTTAGCAATAATACAGCTAAACATTTTAGTCAAAGAGCAAATAAATGTAACCACGCCATTCTACGATGAAAACTCTAAGTATTCCCAGTCAATTTTAGCAAATATTTCAAGCACTAAACAGTGAAAAATACATCGCAAATTTCGTTAAAATTTGTGACGCCAATTTCGTAGCTACAAATGTAAAAAATACAAAACAAAGACGAAAAACATTTACCTTGAATACTTTGTCGTGGCTTAGGCATGTTTTTAAAACAATTAGACCAGTTTACGCTTCAAGATCACCCTTTTAAAGTGGAAAATATAGCAAAACAACAAAAATGCCGAGAACTTTGGTAACATTCGCAATACGCGTGACGTCACGTTTTTCAACAAGGATGCAGTCAATGACGTCAGAAGTTTCCAATCCATTTATTTTATTATCCATGCTTCATGTCAGTATCTGTTCCAAGCTTGTTCGAAATTTTTCAGATTGTGCCGCTATGCTTCTTTACTTAACTACGGCATTTTCATTCAGCCAGGTACACCATCAAATTGATCAAAATGTGTAATGATAATGAGAATTGAAGCTATTTCGTTTCAAATATATTAATATACTTAGGGAAATAATTGAAAATAATTTCCCTTTTTCCCCAGAATTTGGGCGTCCATTTTTTGTTCTAGGGGTGTCCCAGGACGCGTGGACGCCCTTCTGGCTAAAAGCCTGGCGGGAGGGAGTAACTTTTGACCACTATCCCCACCCCCACCACTCATAAAATGTTTTAATTTCATTCAGAAAAGCACTTGCAGTCACCAATCACAAATTTACATCTGTATGCAAACTTGGACATAATTCTAAAATATGTCAGACAAACCCTCGTTTTGGTCGGAGGTTATGTTTGTTTGTATGTGTGTCCGTAAGCACCATACTTAACATCTATCAAACGGCATTAATACAATCAAACGGCATTTGTGAGGCCAAAAAAATATGTGGGTTTCCTATTTCTTCTTGTAAAAACTTAGGATAAGGTAGGTCGGTACTTTCCCTTTCTTAATTCATTCTTCCATTTAATTTTTTAATACACATGAGTATATACTAATATGTGTAACATTTAAGTACACAAAATCTAAATTCTCGGCTAGTGCCTTGCATGGATCCTTTTTCAAGAGTCTCATTCATACCGCCTTTTTGGATCTTCAAATTATTAATTCTTATGTAACTGTATTGATAATATATTGTATGCACTATTGATCCAAACAGTTTGTGAAATTTGTGAAAAACGTTGTGAAAATTGCCGGTAAAATCCTTTTTCTCGCATTCGTAAACAAGCAAGACAATATTGCCAGCTTCTCTCTGATCATTTCAAGTAAAGATAATATAGACATCCATACCGTTGTAACAATATCAAATCATTTTATTAACCTGAAAACAAGGTCTGAACCTTATGTAAACAATATGCGGTATCCGACCGGATACTGGAACATAGTCTTTCAAAACATGGTTTGGAAACTCCTCCGCTAAAGTCTTTGTTCTATCTTTTTGTTCGCGTTTATGCAGTTTTGTGCACGGTGCACGGTCAATGAACACATTGTATTTCAGTATAAAGAACGAATCAGCCAATAGCAACGTTTCAGTTCAGTTATTCAACCATGCTATTTAAATATTAATAAACCTAAAACAAAGGATGTGCACGGTGTAAGGTACGGCTCAACATAAACTTCCAGCTCATTATAACCGCTTTGCAAGCTGCTTCATTTACTGTTCGCAGTACTCCAGATTTTCGGAACACTAATGGAATGGGACAGAAGACAGTCGCATGACTGTTCTGAACTGTTCTGACTACCCCGATTTTCGAGTAGGGGCAGCCAGAACAGACACGTGACACTGCCTATTTTCACGTGATTGGAAATGAGGCGACATATTTTGTGTATCCAATGCACACTGTATAGAGCGTTATTTTGAAGGGTTAACCGCTATATTTCGACATATACTTATCATATGCTATTTGAACGCCACGGTTGGGCAAAATCAACGAGTAAAAACGTTGCAAAAGCATACGTAGATGTACAAATAACAGCGAATCATTATACGCTTTATTATGCGAATAATAATGAATATATTGGTGTAATGTACTCAGGTGAATATGATGCTTGTGATGTTACTCTGAGTGTATATCCACACCGGACAAGCTTGAAAAATATGCCTGACCACGGTGGGAACCAAAATTACGACCTTTGGAATGCTAGCCCAATGCTCTGCCAACTGAGCTACGCGGTCTGGTCGGTTCGAGTATGTGATATTTCGGAACAGAATCTAGTTGCTTCAGGCATATTTTTCAAGCTTGTCCGGTGTGGATATACACTCAGAGTAACATCACAAGCATCATATTCACCTGAGTACATTACACCAACACAGAAAAAATCATGGTTATTAGATTACATTGATATTGAAGCAACTAGATTCTGTTCCGAAATATCACATACTCGAACCGACCAGACCGCGTAGCTCAGTTGGCAGAGCATTGGGCTAGCATTCCACAGGTCGTAGGTTCGTTTCCCACCGTGGTCAGGCATATTTTTCAAGCTTGTCCGGTGTGGATATACACTCAGAGTAACATCACAAGCATAATAATGAATATAGCTAGTAATGATGCATGGTTGCACGCATATATAATAAACTAAACACTGTTCCAGAACACCGTGCGCACTCCATTTTATATCGTTCCAGAACAGTGTTCCAAATGTTCTAGAACAGTAAATGGAGCAGCCTGCAGGAGTTTACTGAGTTTCCAGACCATGTCTCGAACGACTATGATTAGAAGCATCCAGCCGGATATTGAGATCATCTCAGTGTCGGGCTGGATATTCGATGCATCCGTAAGAAAGATAATAAACAACATACCAAACTGACAGCCCAAGAAATCAAAACGCAGGCATAGAAAATCTCCTTCCCATTCTTCTGGAATTATCTTCAACAATCTCGCCTCAATCGGTTTCTCGAAGAAATGATACTGAGGTGTGGAGGAGTCAAAATTTCCTGACAAGGTCTGGAAAGGAAAATAAACAAAACACTTCAAGACTTGCAATGAGCGGTAGAAGAATCTGATTTACTGGATGTTGTGGGTTCAAATGCTCACTTGCAAATCCTCCGAAAATTTCAAGGAAATTGCAATTTCGCAAAGTGGAAACACTGACAAAATGGCGACCATTGAGCAGTGAACTCTATAAATACTGGAACGATAACTCCAGGTAAACTGTCCTGTGATTGGGTGAACCCAAGATGGCGGCCTATAGAGTGCTCTCTTGTAGCTATAAAACACGCGTGTTTTTCGCGTGGGCTTCGCGGAAGCTGAAAAATGACTAAAGTTTTCCGATCGATGTTTTTCAATTTTTGCACATAAATGCACATTTTAATGGTGAATACCATATCTAAAAATTAAAAGAAAATGTATAAGATTGATGCAGCTGCAGTCCATATCATTCTGTGTTCAGGTCAAATCCCTCATATAGTCCGGTAAAACAGAATTTTGCTGGTGTCTCTCCGCGGGTTGTTTCTTTTGCATTTCATGATCTAAAATTTGGTTATTCCGAAAGATCAGTTGCTCTAGTTTCTTAGGGCCACGGTAAAGCCGAACTTAAAAAATAGTCGGCCGAAAAATTTCTGCATGAAATGATGCCGATTTTTCCTACTGAATTCATACAAGACGGGCTTCAACAACACAGCCCGAGTTATTGTTGCTGTTTTTATAGAGTTCACTGCCATTGAGGGGCTGAAACTTCAGTCTCGCCTATTCATGCTACTACATAACCCGCGAACAGGCATACTTTGGGAACGAGATTGTGCCGCCTTATGGGCGCGATTCCAGTCCTCGCACGAAGCTCCTCGCAGCGAGTGCATGCATGAGCACTTTCATCCAATCACAATGCTTAAGAGCTAATTTTAATTAGATGCAAGCACTCGCAGCGAGGAGCTTCGTGCGAGGACTGCAATTGCGCCTTAACGATATACCACGTCCGATTTTGGCTTTTAAAGAAAGTGACATATTTGCGTTTTTAAAGAATATGCATGGCATTATAGAACTTTTTATATTTTGCCCTATTAATGCATTTTCAGTTGTTCCTAGTGGCACTGGTGCGGTATTCTTATTTTGAGTTAAATAGACAAATGTCGTAAAAAACTAACCTCTGCATGTACAAATATTGAAAATGCAGAATAGGCAGTAACTGAACCCTGGGCCAAAATTACACTAAATACTTCAACAGACTAAGTTGCAAAGGACCTACTGTATTATCAGATTTTGCGATTAACAACGTCGTGTTATAGAATTCATGACTGCATGTTTACAGTTTAAGCCATATTTCAACGTGCTATGCAAATTACGAAGGAAGTAGAATAAACCATATAAACCATGTCCGCCATGTTCCAACTCCATTTCAAAACCATCCTCACAGATATGAAAAACTATAGTTTCGTATTATTCTAATATCAAATCATACTCACTCGTCTTTCATCTCTGATTTTAGCTTGCGTCCAATCAGCTCCGTTAAAACTGTAGTCCAAATAATATGATTTTACCCAGCTAGAACTTGTTCCCTTCGTAACAATAATTTCAATTTTGTAAAAGTTTTGCAGATCGATCTGTAGATATTCTGCGGATGGGTCCGCCGCAGCAGTGCACCAACCTGCCCCAGCTAACCTAACCTTCTTTGGTTCGAATCCAGATTTATAGGAGTACGCGGAAAACTGACTATCCAATATTTTGGTTCGATCAGCCAACGTGAGCCTATTCAAAGACAAAGTACCTATAAAAAGGAATACATGTTCAGATGGTGTCCAGATTATAAAAAACATTATTATTATTATTATTCTATTTATTTAAGAGGCAATTGTTTTCAATGTCACATATTTGCAATGAAAAGTGTTCAAAACCTAAAATCTTTTTGGCGTTCCTCTCAAAATTACTTTGTTTTAGCTTTATTCTCTAGTCAGTTTATAGAGTTAGCTACCTTTTTAAATGCATCTGCCGGTTGAGAAACATAAAATAATAATTAAAATACAATTGTCAATGATGCTTTAAAATTGACGCCATATTTACAGCCATATATAAGCAAAACTTACTGAACTTCAGACATCATTTTCTTTCTGGCGTATCATCTAAAATCTCTTCATTTCAGCGTTATTTTACAGATAAAGCACTAAACATACTTTTTAAGTTTGTTTGCCGATTGAGAAACGTATCGAAAAATAAAAATTTTGAATTTAGTCATAACCTCAAGTGGTATATTATACGCATTAGTTTTGAGCGCGTGTTACGTGACATTGAAAAAAATCTCCTCTTAATTTTGCCAAGTAACATGCAACATTTAACAGTATATTACAACAACATATAATATGATGCTTGCGATGTTACTCTGAGTGTATATCCACACCGGGCAAGCTTGAAAAATATGCCTGTCCACGGTGGGAATCGACCCTACGACCTTTGGAATACTAGCCTAATGTTCTGCCAACTGAGCCACGCGGTCAGGTGACTCAGATCGGTTCGAGTATGTGGTATTTCGGAACAGAATCTAGTTCCTTCGATATCAATGTAATCTATAGTAATCATGACTTTTTCTGTGTTGGTGTAATGTACTCAGGTGAATATGATGCTTGTGATGTTACTCTGAGTGTATATCCACACAGCGTAGCTCAGTTGGCAGAGCATTGGGCTAGTTTTCCAAAGGTCGTAGGTTCGATTCCCACCGTGGCCAGGCATATTTTTCAAGCTTGCCCGGTGTGGATATACACTCAGAGTAACATCACCAGCATCATATTCACCTGAGTACATTACACCAACACAGAAAAAGTCAACATATAATATGTGTTCCATTGGCAGGGTGCACGCTACAGTTTTCACCAATTACAGCGGCGCCATTAACATCAAAGCACGTCTCTATATCAAAGCCCAAAGTGCGCCCAAAGTAATTTACTGACATTCTTTCTCTCAAATACAAGATCACTTTTACCAAAGGTGGATGAATTAAAAATTATACTTGACCAATATGATGTGAGTATGGCCTTCATAACCGAAACATGGTTAAATGAGAAAATCGACGATGCAGCAGTTTGTATTCGCGGGTATTCAATAGCAAGATGTGATCGAATTGATAAACTTGGCGGTGGAGTTTGTGCTTTTATTAAATCAGACATCCCGTTCAAAATTCTAACAGAATTTAATGACATCAATTTTGAAACCTTATGGATCTATGTACGACCTTATAAACTTAATCGAGGCTTCTCGTGTTTGATCGTCTGTGTGGCCTATAAACCTCCATCCAGCGACAACGCTGCGTTTATAGATCACCTCAGCTCAACACTTGACCTCGCTCTCAGTAAGTACCCAAATGCAGGTATATTTTTACTCGGAGATTTTAACAGATGTCCTGTCTCATCTTTATTAAGACATTTTACTTTGAAACAAATCGTAAAACAACCAACCAGGAAAGATGCTGTCCTTGATCTTATTCTTACTAATATGTCAGACACATGTGACCCTCCTAAGGTGATCGCACCCATCGGACTCAGCGACCATAATTCCGTTTTATGCATTTTAAAAAAATGTAAATCATTGAACGGATGCAAGAAAATAAACATTAGACCCGGTAACAGAGGTGCCAAAGTTGCATTTGGAAGATGGCTAACGAACTATAATTGGACTAACCTGTATCATACTGCACCGTGTGAACAAAAACTGGAAATTTTTCAGGATGTTATTCATACCGGCTTAGACCACTTCCTTCCATGTAAAGTAGTTAAAATGCACGACCGAGATAAGCCTTGGATAACACCTTCATACAAGGAACTTATTAAAAGCAGACAGAAGGCATTTTTTCAGAAAAATGACAAATTGTACCGGCGACTACGTAATCGTGCCAATCGAGAAAGTAAGTACCTTAAATCTGCATTCTTAGAACATAAATTGAAACAATTGAAACGTAACCCTGATCCTAAGAAATGGTGGGACACCGTAAAACAAATAGCTGGCTACCCTAAGAAGAAATCTTTTTCAAGTATTGTCCTAGGAGAGCAAGTCGTCTCTGGAAAGCAACTTGCTGAAAAAATTAACGAGGCTTTCGTATCCGTTACTCGAGATATTCCTCCCCTTAGTCCTATCCCTTTCCCCGATAGCCAATTACAAAGCGATTGTACTACAATTCCAACCGAGTACATTATTAGGGAAGAAGACATTTATTATAAATTATCTTCAATATCATCCTCGAAAGCGGCTGGTCCAGATGAAATACCGAATTGGGTCCTAAAAGATTATGCGCCCCTGCTGTCTTCCCCTGTTACTTCAATCTTCAACGCCTCCCTTCAACAGGCGTCTGTTCCCGCGGTATGGAAAAAAGTACCTAAAAATAAGGTGCTGAGGGACATTACTAAAGACTTGCGTCCCATCTCGCTTACTGCCACTTTGTCAAAAACGTGTGAACGTTTTGTCGCAGACTGGCTGATGGAGTTGATTGGTGAGAAGATCGATAAACGGCAATTTGGATCTCTAAAAAACTCTTCAACAACACATGCATTATTGAGCCTTCTCCATCACTTATTAAACGAAACTGATGTGCCGAAAAACGCTGTGAGAATTTTTTTATTAGACTTCTCCAAAGCTTTTGATCATATCGATCATAACATCCTCCTCAGTAAATTATCTGATATGGACGTTCCATCATTAATAACAAACTGGATAAGAAGTTTTCTTACTCAACGAAGCCAACGGGTCAGAATGCCCCATTGTGTGTCAGAATGGCAAATCCTCAACGGTGGAGTACCCCAGGGAACTGTTTTAGGCCCAATCCTCTTCCTAATCATGATAAACGACCTCCTCGCTGATTGGAAAGACCGATGGAAATACGTTGACGACACCACCACTACCGAAACCATTGGCCCAGATTGTAACAGCAACCTTCAAGAACTGGTTAATTACATCAATAATTGGACTACGAGTAATAATATGAAATTAAACATTGGAAAATGCAAAGAACTGGTTATTGATTTTGCAAAAAAGAAGCATTGCTTTCCCCTTTTAACAGTCGATAAAGTTAATATTGAACGAGAGAAATCTGCCCGTATCCTTGGCCTCACAGTCCAAGATAACATGAAGTGGAATGAACATATAAATAACATAGTTAAAAAAGCTAGCAAGAGGCTCTATATGCTAAGACTGCTAAAAAGGTCCAACGCGTGTATTGACACGTTAATTACTGTATATACTACCATTATTAGGCCTGTTTTAGAGTACGCATGCCAGGTCTGGCATTACAATATCCAACAATATTTATGTGACGATATTGAAAAAATACAAAAACGCGCGTTGAGAATAATCCTCCCATCGCAAAAGTACGACGAAGCGCTGATCACGACTAACATCACGTCACTGAGAGATCGACGAGAAAAATTATGCGAACATTTCTTTGAGAAGAATATTGACAATGAAAATCTCAAAGATCTTTTACCACAAACAGTTTTATCTGGATATGATCTAAGACCGATATGTAAATATCATAATTATGTTTGCAGAACCGAACGTTTTAAGAATTCGTTTTTACCTCAAAGTATATTAAAGATTAACAGTAAATAAGTTTTTAGAAATGTAAATAATCTTAAATATGTAATTATTATGTAATTTTAACTTATCCTCTTAATTTATGTAATACTGGTGTAATTTAACCTTTTTGGGTTACAAAGTCAGTAGTTATTAAATCAATTCAATTCAATTCAACTATGCTAAATTGCTAATATAGGGCCTACTATCCAACGAACACAAATCTAATAACAACACGAAATTTGACAGGACAGATTACGAGACTTGTTACAAGACAAACATATAGATTTCCATGTCCTTGGATCATATCCACGTCAGAAACATCTTCCAGCGCTAACTTGTAATACTTGTTTTTGAATTGTCCTAAATTAATGTTAAGCCCTGATCAAACGAGAACGCAAGTCATCGCAAGTTTTAACTTGCGATGACTTGTGCCTCGTTTGACCACCAACTTGCGTTGGCTTGCGTTGACTTGCGAACGATTTGAGCTGGTTCAAACTTCGTCGCAAGTTTTTTTAAACTTGCACAAAAAATACAAGCTCAAGCAAATCGATCGCTCGCATCGCAAGTCATGACAAGTCATCGCAAGTTAAAACTTGCGATGACTTGCGTCTCGTTTGATCAGGGCTTTACTGTATTGCTTGCCAAACTCTTTGGTAGTACGTTCCATGCATAATCTCTTTGTTCGGTTGACAAATGATCTTTGGTAGGTAGTGGTCTTGCACTACACGGTTGTAAATGACAGATGATTGGCATCAGACGACCTGGTCCCAATCATCTGTCATTTTATTGTATTTATGCACGCAGTAACCTTTCAGTTTCCTGTTTTTCAAAGGGCCGTGCTTTAATCTATTTACATTAATAGACAATTCCCATTATAGACTAATTTTAAAATTAGGCAAGGAAACTCAAAATAAATCACCGCAGCTAGAAAGAGCATACTAAAATTAGTAAAATTACAAAGTTTGGTTGCGAAATGTTGTAAAATGAGGAAAATATAGCCTTGCAAAGTTCGCAAATTTTGTATACTTTTGTATTGCTTGCGGAAATTCCTACCACATTCCTACCACATTTAGGCCAAAAATGGCGCACGCAATACAAAAGTATACAAAATTTGCGAACTTTGCAAGGCTATATTTTCCACATTTTACAACATTTCGCAACCAAATTTTGTAATTTTACTAATTTTAGTATGCTCTTTCTAGCTGTGGTGAT